TATATATATATATACACCTTATATATACCCTAAACTCCCCACCTGTAGTTTCCTGTCAGGAAGGCCCTAAATCCTTACCGCAGTCCACGTGTTGCCTTGCACCACTGGTGAACAAAAGGGCTCCTCCTTCCACACAGCAACCCTACCACCTCTAGGGTTACGCGTTAGGGCGGTTAATGTTTACTCAATACCACCGTGATGATATCAGTAGTAAGACTAAGAAGATCAGTCCGATAGTCTCCAAACCTCCACGTGGAAGGCAGAGGGAGCCCCTTCTGGTTAGCTGCCCGAACTCTGCGGCCGAGGTGTTTTTGTTCGATTGAGGCTTGGTGTGCTTCCCTGTTTTTCCATTGGGGTTTTCGAAGTTGAGTTTTGATGTTTGACGCTTCGGCGCTGTTCAGGGCTCGAGGTGCGGAAGCCGGAGGCAAGTGCCGGCTTTAGCATTTTGCGGTTCCAGCTCGACTCTTGGCTGCCAAATCCATCCCGATTCCCGATGACGCGCCTTGCTGCGGTGTTGGCTGGCGGGCTCCTCTCCGGCTTCGCCGGCGCCATGCGTGAGTTCACTTCGAGGTTAGAGATGAAGGCCCCAAGCCAGGCGGACAGCTGAATTGTATACTGAAGATACCTCTAGTCTTCCTGGAACCCCACGGTGATCCCAGAAGACCCAAAACTCTACACGGGACCCTAAACCCCTAACTAAACCCCAAACCGTAACTAGTATTTTCTAGGCCCCCGAAACGCTGCTGAAGATGACCAGGACCTCGAGGGTCGTGTGGCGGCGTTGGAGGGGCAGCTGAAAATGACCCAGGACCTGCAGGGTCGCGTGGCGGCGTTGGAGGGGCAGCTGAAGATGGACCTCCAGGGTCGCGTGGCGGCCTTGGAGGGGCAGCTGAAAATGACCCTTTTGCAGGGTCGCGTGGCGGCGTTGGAGGGGCAGCTGAAGATGGACCTCAAGGGTCGCGTGGCGGCCTTGGAGGGGCAGCTGAAGATGACCCAGGACTTGCAGGGTCCTGTGGCGGCCTTGGAGGGGCAGCACGGCTTCGAATTAAACTCATCCACGCAACAGGACTGGGCTCCTTCTAAGGAACTTACTTCATGGCCCTATAGTCAACAACAGGTTATCCTCATAATGGAAGCTTAATCGTAACCTCCTGAACAAAAACCAGAGGAATGCTGCAGTGTCTCTGACTCCGACAAGCACAAGGTTAAAGTCTCGTATTCCTGGTGGTGGTGGTGGTGGTGGTGGTGGTGGTGGTGGTGGTGGTGGTTGTGTTAGTGGTGCTCGTCGTCGTTGCCGTCGTCGTCGCGCCGTCCGGGCGGTGGTGCTGGTGATGCTGGTGGTCGTCGTAGCAGAAGGTAGCAGCAAGAGCAAGATGAGCAGGAGTAGCAGCAGCAGTAAGTAGCAGTAAGTATGGTCGTAGCCGCAGTCGTGTTTGTCGTCGTCGTCGTCGTCGTCGTCGTCGTCGTCGTCGTCGTCGTAGTAGTTGTTGTTGTTGTTGTTGTTGTTGTTGTTGTTGATGTTGTTGTTGTTGTTGTTGTTGTTGTTGTTGTTGTTGTTGTTGTTGTTGTTGTTGTTGTATAGATAGTATTCAGTAGTTGGTCGTTAGTCATTAGTAGCCAGTAGTTGGTAGTTTGCAGTCGGCAGCTGTTAGCTGGTAGCTAGTCGCTGTTAGTTGATGGTTGGTAGCTGGTGGCAGTTTCAATGGTAGTGGTGGTGGCAGTGGTAGTGGTATCACTGGTAGCACTAGTGGTTGCAGTAGCTAGTAGCCAGTAGCAGTGGCAGCGGCAGACTCAGTCGCAGTAGCAGTAGCATTAGTCGTGGTGGTGGTGGTGGTGGTGGTGGTGGTGGTGGTGGTGGTGGTGGTGGCGTGGTGGTGGTGGTGGTGGGGGGGCGGCGGCGGTGGCGGCGGTGGATGGTGAATGGTGAATGGTGAATAAGACGACGAAGACGAAGATGAACATGAAGAAAGCTAGGTTGCTGAGAAAGACTGTGGTGATGACGAGCTTCGGTGATGCCGGTGGTGATAGTGGGGTGTCGGTCGGAGCAATGGTGGCGATAATGGCGACGATGGCAGTGGTGGTCGCGGTGGTCGCGCTCCACGGCCATCACCATCATCATCATCATCATCATCATCAGCATCATCTTTCTTCACACGCGGCAGAGAGTTCTGTCCAGCGACGCCTTTACAGCTCCCCCTTGGGAGTCGGCCGTTCGTGATGGCAGGCACGGATGCTACATGTGGGCAGCCAGTGATGTTAACTCATCATCATCCTTATCATTATCAGCGTCATCATCATCATCATCATCATCAGAGTCATCATTATCATCATCACCAACTACACGCCCATCACTAGAGCCATCAGTATTTCAGTATCACTGCGGCAACACCTTCCTGTCGTGCGCGGCCTATGCGCTTCCACAGGTGTGTCTGTGTGCGCATTTTCATGTGGAAAGAAACAACGAATGAAAGGTAGATGCAAAGGCTCAATGGATAGGTAGGCCAAACAAATACAGCAAGAAAATGACAGAAAGAGCATGACGTTTACCTGGCCATGTGTTTGTTGCACACTCTGGGCAGCAATTGACTGGTTGGCCGGTCGGCAGGCGAGTTGGTAACTTGGCTGGCTGGCGCGGCATAGCTGTCTTCCTGCAAGTCAATTCAAAAAATTAGTTTGCTGCTGTCTGCAAAGATACATGTACAAACCTTTTTCTGCCACAGACAGTACAACTTAACACCATGCAGGCACGGGTATGCGATACTCGTCGATCACCAAGTCTACTGATTGTATGAATAGGTGCATGTACCCGAGTTTGATGACGCGGCTCACTGGGACAGCTTTTGCTGGGAGCCCGGCGGCCTGCCGCAGCCTCATGATCAAGTCGAACCTGAGTGCTCAGGTGCTGTTGAGCCGAACCCCTCGAAAAGAGACCTTCGACGTGCCGACAACTGCTATAAGTATGGCACACGTGCGCGTAATTGTGGAGCACCGTCCCACCTTCGACGTAGGTGTCGAACTGCGTCCGGCCTTCAACAGAATCCGGCAATCAAGATGGCAAATCTGCCCTGAAATTTGGCGGAACGTGAACTTTGCGAGCCTGCCGTGTACATGGCAGTGTAAAAGTCCTGCTCTTGGTCAGAGAGCTTGTCCTTTCCTGAGACCAGTATGAAAGCTTCACAGCCGAGAACTGCAGCGTAGTTTGTTGACTGGGTTTGCAGGCGGATTCGAACAGTCAGCTGCGGCAGCCTCATATCCACGAACACACTTGCACTGACACAGCGGCACTCGCGATGCTGAGCAAAGTCTTGCACAGACAGCGGTGATGCTCATGATACCTGTGCTGCCTATGTGGCTTATGTCCAGAACGGAGGCAATTACACGACCACATGCGATTGGAAGCAAGCCTATGCTTGGGACTTCGTGGTGGGCACACAATCGCGATGGCTGTCGACAGGTTAAACGGAGGATGCCCTGACCGAACTGGTGCTGATGATGTCCATTAGCTTCAGGGCTCTGACCAAAAAAAGATGGGCGGGGCGTAGCGAGCTCAGGTTTTCGTCTAAAGCTCCGCTGAAGCCAACACCCACGAAAAGAGCGGCCAGATCGGCCACGAGATCTTAGCCTCGGACTGCACATCGGCCGCGCGCTCCACTTTCGTTCGGCGAAGAAGGATGCCTCTGCAAATCTCACGGACTTGAAACAAAGTCAAACCTCGAATCACCCGTCGGCACGCAGCATTCTCAAGTTGCCCATACAAACTTGCCAGCTCTGCGATCGAGGACCTCCGTTCTCAACTTCTCCATGGCCTTGGCAAGCGCTCGGAGCTCCTAGTCAAACTCCACAGACACTTCCAAGAGTAACTCTGAGCCGTGCGCCACCTTTCCGGCACCAAGGAAGCCGAACTTCTTGATAGGGTTGGAAACCTGAGAAACCAGGTTGAAGAAGTAACCCTGCTCGCCAGCGAGCTGGTGCGGCCTCGGTTGTGAAGTGGCTGCGATGCTGCATCTTGGTGTGTCCTGGCGAAGGGAGACCCAAACCAACAAACCGAAGGTGCAGCGAGAGCCGTCAACGCCGCGAGGCAGGCCGCACTTCTTGCACAGCGAGGTCTCAATGTCGAAGCGGTAGTGCAGCGAGCAACACTTGCAGCCTTTCCTTGTGCAGAAGTAGTGAGCCTCAACATCCAGGATCAATGACGAAAGTAGTTATGTGTAGCACCTCTTAGCCGTCAGCATATGGATAGAACTGGATGAATCTGATGATGGACCAGAACTCCCCGACTCGATTCTGGAGCGGCCTTGGTGAGAAATTCCCAAAAAAACAAGTTGGGGCCTTGAGGGCAGGATGCTCCTCAGCCTTCTTGGGCAGCCGGCGTGCCAGATAGGCACCAGCGTGACCCGCGCACCCGCAGCGCAAAGGCAGCCTCAGGGAGTCAAGCGATACAACTTTTGCGGATCACGGCACCTCTTTGCCTCCCGGAACACCCACGCAGCCTGCACTAGCTACCCTCTGTGATGGCAGTGCTCTGCCTGTGCCGTGCTGTTCGTCCGAGTCTTGATGCGATGTGCCTGCAGTCCAAGGCACTGACTCAAAAGCGGTGCAGCTTCAGATGCCTCGTCGAGGACAACGCGTCCCCAAACCGTTTTGTACAACGCCGACCTTCCAGAAGCATTGCGACACTCAGCCCCCCTAGCCCCGGCCCGTCACCTGGACAGATCGATGTCTGCAGCATCCTGCGATACAAAACGCCCGCATCCTGTCTGTTAAGATCATCCGACATGACATAATCGTCCTCATCATCCGTGTCAGCGGGAGGTGGTGGAGGGGGCGGAGGAATCGCCTCTGTGCTCGCCTCGAACTCTGCCGCCGCCTTGCCCTTCTTGGGCTTAGGCGACGAAGCAGATGCAGACCTTTGTTGGCTACGGGGCGGACGGTCTCCACCAGTGGGCAGCAACAGCAAATGTGCTCAGGTGCGGAGCCCAAAAGCCAAGCCATTCCTTTGCGCACCCTCTTCATGTAAGAGCTCTATGTCGCTGTCATCACCTGCGGTTGTTTTGCTTCCACAGGACACAATGCCACAATATAAGGTGATTAGTTTTTGCATATTACAACCATCTACAACCGAACACTGAAGCTCTTGCAGACAAGCCACTTTGCGTAAGCTCGATGACTTTAGTCGACCGCTTGCCGTTCAGGGTGGCACCCCATCCCACGCGCGATGCGTCCTTGCTGTATCTGGAAGCATCACAACTCATGCAGCTGAGCCTGCCAGAAGCCTGTTAAGCACTCGACGTCGCTGCCAGTCCCTGCGTTTCCGCTTCGATTCCCGTGTCTGGGCATCGACACCTTTGTCGTCCGACGGACGGCTGCACCATGCCACAACGTGCAGATGCTACGGCTACGGATTCATGCCACACCCATTCGGCAAGAAGTGCAGCGAAGGCACGGGCGCCGGAGTGCTGCTGGGGCTGGAGTTTCTGCACGTCGCATCTGCGTCTGCACCGGGCCCCTTACCGCGGCGCCGCTTGGCAGGGGTGGCCGGTGCCTCCATGCCACGTGTGGATGTTTCGTCTCGGGACAAAAGTCTCTTACTTTTGGGCCTCTGCCTGCGGAGAGCTTTCACCTGCGCTTGAGGCCAGGATTGGCATCTGTCTGACTTCCTCCTGAGCGCCTGCGCCACGCAGAGCTGCCTGGGCTTCATCCGGAAGCACGGACACAGGGAACGGCCTGTGAAACGGGCCGGTGGGTTTGGCATGTCAATGTCTCTTGCACAGCTGGAAGCGGCAGAACCTCAGGTCCTAGCATTGCACCTGAGCTCTTGGCTCTGCGACCTGGGCGCACCAGAAAGAATCAGGTGCAGTGTTACTGCGACAAGAAGAGGCAGGGACGCAACGCTTGCGTGGCCGCACTGCGGATGGCATTGAGCGGATTCAAGACGATGTTCGTCTCAGTCCCGCCGATCTTCATTTTCTTGACCGCCTCATCCTTTCCCATGCTACACAGATCGAGACAGGACCAAGGTATGACATGATCACCGACAGTCCTTGAAGTCGGCCTTCCGCTGCGACTTCATCTGCTTCTCGGTCCTCTGCGCGTCTGGTCCACAGAAGTACTTCTGGTGGTAGAAGAGCTTCTGCTTTTGAAAGAGCCGACCGCACCATTGGCACTGGACCTTCGTCCGATTCACCTGTTGACGATAGTCGCTCTCCAGCGTCTGGTAGGTGGTGAGAACGACAGTCCGCCGCAGGTACACCGTCTCGTCCATCAAATCATCCAGCACGCTCTTCTTTTCCAACCCATAATAAAGACGCACTTCCAGGCTACCTGACGGCACGCTGTAAAACTGCCCATCAACTAATTCGAACTGTCCCCAGTCCCTTCCTGGCGCTGTGAAGCGCAGGATCTCGTTGCGCCACTGAAGCATGGCCGCAGCAGGGCACACAACAAGCGTGGCACCCTTGATCTCACCTGGGGTGCATGGGGAGCCCGTCTGCTCACAACAACATGTGCACAGTGCCACCTGCCAGTATCAGCGCAATGGTTTGGAGCGTTTTGCCCATACCCATCTCCTGGGCTTCTGGATGCTTCTGCTTGAATTTGACACGGAATGAAAGCCGCAAGGTCGTTTCACGCCGTCCGAGTAGCATCGGCCAAGATCCCTCCACGAGTGGCTTCGTCAGCCTCGCGCTCCAGCATCCATCCTAGACCTCGAGACTTCAGACATGGCCGGATCATGGCCTCCCCAAACTGGGTGCGTTTCGATTTTGCCGGCCTTCAGACTGAAATGCCAGCATCGAGCGAGTGAGGGCTTTCGGGGCCGGATGCTGCGGCAACTTGCCTGGCATCCCAAAAGAAGGGGGCTCCCCCAAACTAAGGCCGGCTACCGCTCATGGAAAGCCGAGGGCCCGGCGCGGCGCCTGCTCTGCTGGCGGCGCTTCCGGCTGTGGCTCCTCGGAGTCGCAGGCTGAGGCGGATACCGAAGGCTGCAGAAACGAACAAGAAGACTCGGTGACATTTCGAACAACCTTTCAACCGCATGGCGACTTCCTTACACATCTTACACATGTTCAGTCTTTCTCTGGAACAGGGAGTAAGCGCTCACTCCTCTCTGCGCGCAGGCTCACGCTCTTTCGCCTGAGTTGCGACTTGAAGCAACACTAGCGACGCCATTCTTCGAGGCCAAGGTCCAGCAGTCTGGACCCACGTCCAGGGAGGGGTTGTGGTGCGTGGGCTTTCCGACCTGTACTGGTGACCCTCAACGAAGAAATGTTGATTAGGTCCCGGAGTTTACTGCGCAAGTCTCTCTCTGCCGCGCTTCTCTCTTTCTTCCCGCTTTCGCATGTTATCGCATTTTCGAAATAACGATGTGCTCCGATGCGGTAATGCAAAGATCACGCTGAAAAGGTCGCTCAAGCTTCCTTCAAGTTTGGGGCTTCGCTCGGAGTGTGAGAAAAGCTCATAACTAGCGAAGTGGCATCAGCATAAAATCCTGAATAAAGGAGATCTCAATCGTCGGATCCTAAGAAGAACCCCCCAAAAAAAGGACCCCCTTTTGCAAGAAACTACATCTCCTCCCTCGGCTTCATCAGCTCCGCGCGAAAGTCTTGGCGCCTCGGATCTCACAGCAGCATCCTGATCCTCTGGCTGCGAACACCTGAATCCTACCCGCCCTTTAGAACCTCCAGAGCCTCATTGACCTCTTCGTGATTCTAGACGTTTATGCTGCTTCAGTGGTCTTTGATGAGTGTTGTTCCGCCCCCCATGTGTTGTGTATTTACTGTATCTGTAACGAGTAGTTGGTGGCTCTTGTCGTCTCTACTAGTATGTATCTTTCGTCTTCATCTGTCAGAGTCTGTGATTTCGGCCGCTTCTTGTACTGTATTTTCTTGATATAGAACAAGTCCTTGACCCTGCAGTGCTAAACCCTGGCTCCTTGGACATCACACAGCTGTGCAAAGCCGAGGCAGCGGCATGTCGACAGGCATATCTGCATATCCAAGAATAGTCTTCGACATCTTTGTGTCCCCCATTTTGGCGTAAGCTACGGCCATGTCATCGTGCCGCGCGCATGCCATGTGGAACCAGTTGACGATGGCACCATATTCGCCTTGAGTTGAGCCGCGACTCTATCTTCTCTTGATTTTGCTGGGGTTCCCAAACCCTTCCTGCCTCGTTGGTCCTTGACCGGATAGCCAATTCTCAACGCGTTCTTCGGGATTTTGTCGCCACAGCGCTTGCAAGCGGCCATGCCTGTCTTTGACTTCTCCGCCTGTCACTCGAGTCATCTTTGTGTTAGTCCACGGGCGTGCACACGCGATGCTAAGCCTTCAATTTTTGAAGCATGGAAGAGTATGGAGCATGGCCTTGTGGGTGTAGCCGTAGAGGAGGTATGGGCGGCGCTTCTGGGGCACCTGGCCGACCCGGCCACGAGGCACCCACTCCTGTCCTTCGAAGCAGCACTTGCAATTTGAACGTGGTCTCTACCGTGTCTACTAGCTGCAGGTTTAAGCTGTGACTCTTACGCTCATGGCTGAAGGGCTCCTCCGGTGTCAAAGGCGCAGTTGCTCAACCGCTCGGGCAGCCGGTTCGCGCCACCAGCCAAGGCGACCAAGCCCTGCATTGCGTCGTCGGCCCCCAAACTTGCCTGGTTCGACCACACAGACCTCAGACCTGTTGGACCGTGCAAAGCAGGACAGGCCAAGACGCCGCAGTGGGTGCAGGGCCCGTCTTGGGATCCGTGGATGGCACCTCCGTCGCCGTTGCCGGCGAAACATCTTCGCGGGAGCCCACCACCGGTGGCTTCGCGCCTTGCTTTCACAATTACCCGAACTGCCCCTCCAAGGCATAGGAAGCTGAGGCACTCGTCCGGGATCCGCTGGCCGATTCCTCTCCTGACCGAGACTTTTGACCTCCGAGCAGACTTTTGGCGGAGTGCCCTTTGCCCCTGCCATGCCCAGAGCCTCTTCCGCCTCTTCCGCCTCTTCCTCTTCCTTTTCCTTTGCCGCCTTTACCACCTGTACCACCTTTGCTCTTGCCTTTCTTTGCCTCAGTGGACTTCGCCTGCACGCGCGGCGAAGCTTGGAAGCGACAAGAGTGCACCAGCCGCCTGGCCTGCTCGTCAGATTGCTGCGGTCTCGCCTGTGCCTCCAGGCGAGAAGCAGCATAGAGGATCATAGAGGTATGCAGCGAGCTGAAGCATCGCTTCTCTCGCAAGCCTGGCCTTCGGCGCACGCTCTCGCAGCACGCCCCTCTCCATGGCTATCTGCGCCTTCAGCCTCTCATCGGCCACGGCTGCCGCCTTCCGCTTGACCCTGCCATCTCGACCCTCGCCGTCAATGATGCCAGCGCGAAGGCTCTCCTTCAGAAAAGCCCCAGCTGCACACCCGCTGGAACTACCCTGAGCCGTCCTCCAGCTTGCGCTTGAAAGCCCGGACCTGACCCAGCTTGCCCGGGCTGCCCTGCGGCTTTGCCTGACGAGCACAATCTTCGCCGAAGCGGCGGGTTGGGAACAGGAACAAACTGCCCTTTGTGCACCATGGATCTGTTTTACGTGCGCCTGGCTGCCGGAGGCGACGTCGGCCCCTTCGTCGGCCCCTTCCGGGCCGTCCTGGACCTCTGCAGCCTCTTGGACCAGACTGTGCCCTGCAGACTCACCCATGGCACAGCCCTGTCTGCCAGGCCATCTTAGAGTCTGAGGAACAGGGGTCTCCAGCGGTGGGCCTGTGGCCGGCGCGAGGACCCCCTTGAGCCTTCTGAACAATGCCGGCAAGGAAGAGGCTCAGGATTCGCATGCAGCACATGCAGCACAACCGCACTTTGCCCTTCTTAGAAACCGTCTGCAAAGCAAAAGGCACTCTTGCTTTGAGGCGATCTCTTTCGCTGCGGCGGGCTTCGGTGATAAAGTCACTGCGGCGATCAACTCAGAGGAGGCAACGAATTGAATATATCAAATGGTCCCCCGAACTCCTGCCTTGACTTGAACAACTTGAAAGGGCTTGGCAATGCTACAACAATGGTACGAGTACCGCTCCACCACCAGGCTCAATTTCGATATTCCGCACACCTATGACCAAGCCAATTCCCCGCAGCTTCAGGAGCACAGTATGTCGAACCCGGCCGACGGTTGCAACGTGTCTTGAGCTCCTCCAGAGAAGGCTCTCCTGTTAGGACCTGCACTCAATGCAAACTACTACGGGGCGTCCGGCTCAATCGGCACATTCCCGGCATCTGAATCTTAAGCCTGCAATCATCGGCGGGAAACCGATCCTCAGATTCAGAGAAGAGCCTGTCGGGCTATACTTCTTTAATGTGGCGTGCTACGTGTCCTCATCCAGACCAGCAGTCCCAGGTCTGCCTCACGAAATATCGAAGACTGCAAGCTCACGCCGCTCATGCCAAGTGCCAGGTTCACGTGACGCTTTTCGACCTCAAAGCTCGGCACATCCGAAGCCCTTGCTCCAGCGTGCAAGAGTCTGTACAAGGGCAGCGCGGCTTGGCGTCGCATTCCCTCGGAGAGCCAATGCGCTTCCAAATGCACCTGCAAAGAGATTCAGCGACGCCGCGTGCGCGACATGAGTCTATTGCTCTCGCATTCACGATACTTACTATTAATGCACCACAACACACGCAGTGCACGTGTCTAAAACAATATGTACGCCAGGCACGCCACATGAAAATACATATGCATATGCACACATGTATATATGTGTATGTGTATATATATATACATAGATATATATTTATCTATTTATTTGTTTA